GAAAGGTTTTGTGCCTTTGAAGAGAAAGTTTGAGCTATGAAAGTGCAAGGTACTCATGGGCTCGATGTTGTTGATATGTGCTTAGTACCAAACCAGGTAATTCCTCCGAGATTCAAAGTACCCTACTTTGAGAAGTACACTAGTCTCAGTTGCCCAAAGCCATTTGGTGATGTTCTGCCAAAAGATGACTTCTCATGTCCACGACGACAAGTTAATGCTTCACTGTTTTCAAGACAGTTTGAGTGGAGCATCTTTGAGTTGGTACTTGAGTTTAGAAAGAAGTTGTATCCAGTCATGAAGGGATTTAGCCAGTGCTTTCCTAAAGAAATATGAGTACAATTCAGACATGACTCCCAGTCGCACGCAGTTGCAAAGCTTGTCTCAGAAGAGCAGTGAATCCATTAATGAATATGCACAACGGTGGAAAGAGTTAGAAGCTGGGGTGCAACCACCACATTTAAACAAAGAATTGTTTGACATGTTCTTGGACAGTCTGCATGACTCTTATCTTGAAAGAATGGATGGCAACGCATTCTCAAGCTTCTCTGACCTTATAATAGTAGGAAAACGCATCGAGAATTACCTAAAAGCTAAACACGTCTAAGTCGCCTCGAGCAGTCAGGAAAGTGAGGTTGAATCCTTTAGCAGTTCCCAAGAGGAAGAAGAGGATGTAATCAATGCATTCATGGTCGATGTTGAGTATTTTCAGGATGCACTAATGAAATCTTTTGGTCCTTCATCTTCTCAGCAGACATTATTTCCCGTGCCATGTTATCCTTATGGATAGACAACCGTGCTTAGAGCACCATTCCAGAAACCTTGGGTTGCCTCTTATGTAAATCATCAAGCCCATGCCCGAGGATATCAAACTCAACATCAGAATCAGCATAGGCCTAAGAACAACTTGGAAAGAAAGAATGCTCATCTTCATCCAGTTCCTATGTCGTACAATCAACTTCTACCGCATCTGGTTCAAAACTCACTGGTAGAGCCCAAAGCTCTCAAGCCACTTCCAAAACCATACCCTCTTGGGTAAGATCTCGATGTGCGTTGTGGATATCATGCTGGATTAATAGGGGCATTCAACTAAAGATTGCAAAGCTTTTCAAGCCAAGGTGCAACAGTTGACTAACAAGAAGTACATATCCTTTCTAGAAGGAAATTTGGTTATGCACACCAACTTCTCGCCTAAATGAATTCCAAGACTTCAAGAGGCATCTCCCAAAGCCAACGGTTCAGACAGGAAGATGTCCTTAACACTGGAAACTATGAGATCATTTTTGTCATTTGCATTTGTAATTTCTTAATGTTAAATGCTACTTGTTTTTTAATATTGTTTGTTTCGAATGGTAATATTAATGATGTGATCATGCACTTTCTAAATTAATCATGTCGCATTCACGCGATTTGCTCATTCTTTGGAATTTTTTTCGTCGCCGCTTCATCTTCTATTGTTGGATGTTTCAAGAAAACGAGTGAAAAACTGATAAAGAATTGGGAGCCGATTGTCGTTTTTGCTTTGTATCTTTTTTCAGATTTTTTGTGTCTGAATCATGGGCCTTTGGCCCATTTTGTTCTTTCTGTCACCCCTGTTTTTCTTTTCTGGCACCCATTTTGTAGATGAATGGGCTGCAAAGCCCATGATGGTTCCATGGGTTTCTTTAATCATATTCTCAATTCAATACTGCACCCCCTGTTGTTTCTATTTGTTTAATTTTTATTGGTTTTGTTTAGGTAACTTTTGTTAATACTTTTGATTATTAAGTTTTGTTTAAATTATTTAGATAATTTTGTTGACTTTGTTATTTTGTGATTAACTTGATTTTGATTAATTAGAGTTTGACAATTAGGTTTTGTTTAGTTGATTTTAATATTAACTTTTTGCTATTTGTTGATTATTTTTAATCCTCATGAAATTGGATTAAAATATTAATAGATTTTTAGAATCCTATTTGATTCTTTAGTTGAATTTTCATTAAATCTTGTAGTTAATTCTTAATTCTTTTCTCTTGGTTTTTTTCTTTAGTGGAACAAGTTGATTAAACTTTGGTCAGATTTTTTATTGCTTTTCTTATCATATAAGTTTTGATTAACCTTGTGAAGATTTTATGTGGAATATTTTTCATAACCTTGTTTGGACTGATGAGATCTCTTGATGCAGATTGTGATTAGTCCCTGATATCGTTTGTACCAATCCTTGATGTTAATTTTGTTCCTCCTCGTTGATTGCTTTTGATGTTGGTTGCTTACATTCGATTCTTGTAAGATTCTAACATGTTTTGAACTTAACGAATGATGCTTGATTGTTGGGTTCTCTTACTTATTTGAAGTGCTTGATGGCTTGATTCTCGTCCATTTTGGAATCTTATCCCTTTGATTCTTTCCTATTTCAGTTTGTTGATTTTGATTGTTGATTCAATTGATCATTTGAAGCTTTTACAAGTCTTCCTGAGCTTTTTGTGCGTGTTGAAGAGTCAATGGACCTTCTCCGTTAGGTACCACTTGAATGTCAGTATTATCTCTCTTTCATGCCTTATTCTAGGACTTTATTGATGCATACTGAGTACATCCAAAGTCCTACCTCGAAGTAGGCTCTGTTTGTGCATCGTAGTACTTGGATGGCTACATTGAAGCTGGAAAACTTGTTTGATGCTTTGAATCTCTTTTGTGTCAAGTTTGAGAACGTGTTGTTGAAGATATGAAGCATACTTAGGGTTTAGCATCTTTGTCGGCAACTTGTTGTTGATTGAGGAATCTTCACTCCTATGTTGTATGTGCCAATTTAATTGATGCTTTGGTTTCATATGCTACTATTTCATCGTTCTTTGTGTGAACGAGGAGTCACTTAGTTTTGTTCCTTAACTGAGATCACAATATCATTCTTTTATTTGAGAATGAGGAGTCACTCAGGTTTGTTCCTTAGCTGAGATCACAACATCGTTCTTTTTGTGATTGAGTGGCATGATGTTTACTTGTGTTTACTCACATGATCCTTTAGGATTCCTAGCTCGGCTTAATTTCCGATTAAGCTCAAGGCTGGAGAGACATTAGGTTTTCAATCATTTGCACGTCAACATTAGGAATCAATTTTCCCTAATTGTTTTCCTTTCAACCCTTGAGTCTTCTTTCTTCTCATCTCAAAACAAAGTCAATCTACTTGAATTACTACTTTTAAAACTGTCTTATTGATTAAGTAATGGAGGTAGTGGGTTCTTGGAGTCTAGCACTCCTTGGATCCTTGAATGAATGCTCTTGAGGCGCACGCCTTGGGTTGCGTTCGTTCCGTCTCTCGTTTCTAAAAAACATTTAATCAACACTCAATTCGTTTAACTACGTAATACGTCTAATTAAAATTCAAACCTTTTTCTTATTTAAATCACGGAAGAGTTGAGTTCTTGGAGTCTTGCACTCCTTGGATTCTTGTGTGACCACTCTTGAGGCGCACACCCTGGGTTATGGGTCATTTGATCATTCGTTCCTAAAATACTTACCCTAATTATTTGGATAAAGACATTTATTGTCCAACAAACACAATTTCGTAATTAATTGAATGAAAAAGGTGTCGTTGGGATCTAACATTCCAATAATGCCCCGATTAATTGGTTGCGAGGCTGAAGTCTCGTTTATCGAATAATCGTCATCCTCCCTTAAAATACTTAACCAATTAAACCTTGTTTTCTCGCTCCCGTGCGACTGAAACCCTAAAACCTACTCAAATCAAATTCTATTTTCTCAATCAAATCCCTAATACACTTTAATCTATTCAAACAACGTTTTCAAAATAACATTGTTTAGTCCCTTCTTCCGCACATATAAACTCGTGTTTCAGTCTCCCCTAGCGAGCAGACAAGCCAATATTTAGCCGTTAGAATGCCGTGAGTATCCAAAGTCTCTTTATTACGCATCTTAAAGTCTCTTTGTTTGCGTGGAAGATTTTCAATCTTAAAATTTTGACTAAAAACAACTTGGCTAAGAGAGGAATTATCTGACTGACTTGTTAGAATGCCTACGTGGTTGTAGGAAAAAAAGGAATTTCATGTACTCTACCTAATATAATATATTATCTTTTCCTTCAAATTTACAACCATCTTTCCTTTAATAAAAATGCACATTAGTGTTTTTAAGTAATTTGAATGATCAACATTTAAATTATTTTATAAAAGGGAAAATTGAGGATTTTCATCCAAAAAAAGATTAAAATTCTCTCTTCATTATTCCACTTGTTATATATATATATATATATATATATATATATATATATATATATATATATATATATATATATATATATATATATATATATATATATATATATTTAAGTTCGTTAGTTTATTTTGTTATATAAGAGCTCATTATCAATAGTTTGGGTCAAAATTCTCTCCATTTCTTTTTTTGTCCTGTGTCTCCATTACTATAGTTTTATATGTAAATAACACACATTTCATGACATTGAGCCTTCTATTTCTTTTATTTCATTGACATGTATATTTATTTTATTGACATTGAGCCTTCTATTTCTTTTAAGAAATGAAGAGAATCTCTACTCCATAGTTTATCTCTGATATTTGTACATTTCTTTCATTGATTTCTAGACCAGTGTGTCATAGTTTAAAGGAATTGGTATTATGCTCTAATTTGCAAAAGTTCTCACACTAAAGAACAATAGCTTTTCATTTTAATTAGATAAAGAAAATATAATTAACTTGTGAGATATAAAATGGATTTAAGGGTCTATTTTGTAGTTTTTTTTATTGAACTAATAGAAATTTAAAAAATATAAATAAAAAATTGTTTAAATTATTTAAATTATTTAAATTTGGGAAATATTATAAAAACTTTAGTAATATTCTTTTAAAGAATCAAAATGAATTATTTGGATATAGATGTCTTAACTCGACTTTTAAAAAATAAAATTGATAATTATATTTTTAAATTTAAAAATATGTTCATATAAAATTATTTAGGTGGGAGCTTCTCCATTGATTTAGGAGGAAAAGAATATGACAACACTGGGAATAAACCTTATTAATTTACCATTTTGCCACTATTCGCAATCCCTGTCTCCAAACCCAAATGTTCCATTCATCGTTCCCTCCACGCATACTAGGAATTTAACTCTTAAAACCTTTTCCATTTCCTTCAAAAAGTCTCGCTTTTCTCCAATTCAAGCTTCTTCTATGGCTTCATCCACTGTCACTGACACGCAGAAACCATTCTCTGTTCTCTTTGTGTGTCTTGGTAACATCTGTAGAAGCCCAGCTGCCGAAGGGGTTTTCACAGACTTGGTTAAGAAAAGGGGCTTTGATTCGAAGTTCAAAATCGATTCTTCTGGGACAATCAATTATCATGAAGTGGGTATATCTATAAACAATTTTATATAAATTAAAAATGTTATTTTTAAGAAAAAAATTATTATTTTTTGTCATTTTTTATGATGGGGTTTTCAGATTGTTTAAAAAGTTGATGTTTTTGGTTTTGTTTTTCAAGGGAAATGAAGCTGACCCGAGAATGAGAGCTGCATCAAAGAGACGTGGGATTCAGATAACTTCACTTTCAAGGCCAATTAAGTCATCTGATTTTGTTGAATTTGATCTTATTCTTGCTATGGACAAGCAAAACAAAGGTAGGGTATGAGATAATTAGTATGAATTTCGATGGGATGTTTCTAAGTGATAAGGGTTGAATCTCATTATTTTGATTGAACGTTTATGGTTGTTTGTTTTAATTCAATTTTTTTGTTTAGTGTTGTTTGGTTTGATGTGTTTAGTAATGGACCTTGTTGTTTTTTGTTTTGTTTTGTTTTAGAGGACATATTGGAAGCTTTTAACAGATGGAAGTTTAGAGATCCTATACCTGACGATGCCCACAAAAAGGTGAGTAATCTCGAACAACAATAGAACCGTTTTATCCAAGGCATTGCTTTGAATCAAGAAAAGTAAGAGTTTGTTCAAATTCTATTGTACTACAATGCTATAGTGACTACTTATTAGGCTGTCTTAAGTTTTTGGAGGTATTTTGAAGGTTAGTCACGTTTAGACAAAACAACTAGGGGTTCTTTTAGCCCTGGTTTAGGCGTGACAAATCTATTATGAGACTCTATTTAGGATGTGTTTGGATTGGCGGTGAACATAATTGATTCTAGCAGAGTTGAGTTTGGTAGAATTGAGTTCTGCAAAATTGATTTAGATACATTTATGTAAAAGTGAGTTAAACAATAAATTTCAGTGTAAAAATCACCCAGAACCAATTATGGAGGTAGAAGCTACAAATTCTAACTTCAAGTAGAATCAATTCTACTTTGGATAAAACAAACACCTCAAAATCACCCAGAATAAATTCTACACCTCTAAAATTGATTCTGAGTCTTCCAAAAGCCAATCCAAACATGCTATTAATCATAGTTTAATCGTGACAAATTTGAGACTATGTGTTGCAGTCCAGGTTACTCACCCATAAAGAAGGCTGTGTTACTTACAACATTTTGTGCTTAACTGTGTATAGCTGAAGAAAAGGATTATGTTAAAATTTTGCTGTGTTATGCCACTGTGATTTTGTTCGCTTTGTTTTTGTTCTGTATATATAAGGATGACGGGGACTTTGGGATGGTGCAGGTTAAGTTGATGTGCTCATACTGTAAGAAGAACAGTGAAACTGAAGTCCCAGATCCTTACTATGGTGGACCTCAAGGCTTTGAGAAGGTACACTGTTTATGATAATAGGCTATTGGTTGATTCTTAGTTCATTTGTGTAGAACAAAGTTGAATACCACTTACCAGTGCAAAGATAGTCTTGAGTTATGATACTATTTCATCTAATGAATTTAATATGATCACCTGTATGCTATGAAGCACCGCAAACAACTGACATGACACAGACACATACCGAAAACAATTTGAGAAAATTGAAATATTGAATGTAATCACATATATCAGAGTCATTGTTTGACACTAGACATGTCTACATCTTCCATCTGAAATATGGATGCTACATAGCTCGAATGTCTAGTGAGTTAGTTGAAATTTCTTCTTATTATCATTATGTGGGACTTGCAGGTGTTAGATTTGCTTGAAGATGCTTGTGAATCATTGCTGGATAACATTTTGGCAGAAAATAAACATATACAAGAATCCTAATTCCGTTTTAATAGCCAGAAGATACAGTTCTGGTATCAAGCCTTAAACATTGTTTCATTGTTTAGTCATCGTAAATTCGTGATTGCAATATATTGTGAAGTTTTTATAAATGCAGTTTTTCTTCTTTTTTTATTTACTGTTGTGCTTCTCATTGAATTATTAGAATCAACAAATTAGCTTTAAAATGTTTTTAAAATGATGTATTATTCATATTTGGTTTTGATAAAATTGAATCACTATGCTAATGGAAAAAATCATGATTATTCTGATCAATATAAATGGATCAATATGAATGAAGTATTTAGTATTTGTATGAAAAGATCATAATAAAAATAAATCGTTCTTCGATTGAAAAATTTATCAATTTTTAATTTTCTTCATCTCCATAAATATGTCATATTTCATGTATCTACGATTCGTGATAAGTTTTAGGTTCGATAAGCGAGTGTAAATTAAAAAAATTCCACACATCCAATAGAGCACCATTATTTAACATTGGAAAACCCTCTGATGTGAGGGAAAAACTTATGTGATAAACTGAAAAATATTCCACTATATCATTAAATAATATTACAACATTCTCTTCACTTCTCTTACAAACAAGAGATACAATAGTGTTTTCTGTGACACTCACTCTTATTATGATACTGATATTATTTTAAGTATTAAGGAGTAATAGAGATGATACCTACCCTAATGTATATGTCTCTCTCAAGAATTACTCAACACTCTATTTTTGCCTCACAAGAAAGAGGGCAAAAACAAATCATCTATAACACATAACTATGAAAAAATGTAGAAAAAAAGATAATATAAATATAAAATTCTACGTGGAAAAAACTTCAGCAATTATAGTTGTATTTTATAAGTTTCTTTACAAATTTTTGTATTTTTTTTTGGTAAAGGAGAGGACTAAAGGCTAAAAAAAAAACTACAACGGTTGGACTCTCTAAACGCGTGAACCACAATGACATCCTCAAACCTACTCAAAAGGCTATCAATCTTTTTAAGCATTTCCATACCTTCACTTCTTTTGGATCTCCCTTGGTTAATATCCATGACTATTTTAGGAGAATCCATATTAACTTCTATTTTTCTGAATTCTAGGTCAAAAGTGAACATCAAGCCTTATAGTAAATCCCACAACTCTGCCATATAGCTATTGCAGATTTCCACATTCTTGACAAAACCTCCCAACCAACAACCCTCCTCATCTCTGACAAGTCTGCCTCAACCGGTAGCAACTCCCTCAATACAAGCCCCATCCACATTAAGTTTCACCCACCCAACTCTCGGGGCAAATTTTTGTATTTTAATTAAGGAGATAATTCATTTTTTCCTAAATAGTAAATGGACACCATCATAACTTATTTCTTTAAGATAGAGATATCGAGAATCAAATTCATGTTGGTAACTTTACATAAAGACCAATTCAACGAAGAATAAATATGAAAATAATAATGTGATTTAAGTTTAGTTATTGTTGTATAAAAAATGGAGATGATACAAATGCCATACCCTATTTTTTTACCCCCTTAAGATGCCACCACAATTGCATCATTGACATTAAACTCATCATTATATTTATACACGTAGTTATGTATCACTAATCCATACAAGTATAAGACATGTATGCTCACTTGCTTCACATGTTAGGTGACCCCCTTAAAACTCAAGCAAATGAATTATCAAGGGATAAACATCATATTCAACACTACAAGTCCCTTTGTCATTCATAAAGATCAAAAGCTTTCATCCATAAATAATCAAGTGCAAATTTGCATCATTACAAGCTCATCAAAGCTCAAGATCCTCAATGCATCCAAACTAGGGTTTTGACCTAATTCAGTCCCTGGTTTGACTTTTGAAGCAACGAATGATCCGAAACCTCAAGATATGTTTCAAGGACCTCAAGTGCTTCATATTAATCCTTTCATATGGTTGGATTAACCCAAAGAACTTGATTCATAAGCAATGCAAGAAGTTAAAATCATCTAATCCTCAAGCTAGGATTTTTAATAAAAAGTCAATTGTACCTTTGACTTTGAACCAAGACATGATCTCAAGCTTTGGGATATGACTCAAGACACTCAAAAACACCTTTTAAGTCTATCCATAGTGTTTAATTAGTCCAAGGGTTTTATTTCATAAAGGATCACAAAGTTCAAAGTTCATCTGACACAAAAGTAAACTGTGGTCAAAATCAAGTTTGACTTTTGAAGTTTTTGGTCAAACATAGTCTCTTCAAGTCAGGACTGATGTTAATATGTGATATGGATCATGGATGATCAAGAAAAATCAAGAAATGAGAGGTTACTTATGAAAAGGGCAACGTTGAGAAAGTTGAATTTTTTTAAGTTATAAAACTCGATGATTTTTACCCTACTTTGCAAGAGCATAACTTCCAAACCAAGTAATCATTTTCTTTGATCCAAAGATCAAATTGAAGAGCTTGTTATATACTACAACTTTGTCAATCAGGGTGGATTTCCAAAAAGTGCATAGATTTTAAGGTATAAGGCCATGAAGTTGGAGGTTCCATACTTTTGAACCTAAACACTTAGTGAAAATTTGGACAAAATCTATTTTGTGTTTAGGCCAAATTTAGGGCCATTTTCCTCCATGATCCACATTGATTCAAGACAAAACTTAAACATCAAAGTTGAAGTATGTCATCTCAGCTTTCCAGAATGTCCAAGATCATCCATTTACCTTACTTGAGTAGGAAGCTATGATTTTTACAACATGCCTTGCTGCAACTGTTTTTCAAGGCCAGAATTGATGATGCTGGATTTGGATAAGCCTTGCAAGCCAAAAATATTCACAAGATCAACACCAAAATGATCATACAACATGTGCTATGCAAGAGCATAACAAAATTTTCAAGATTCTCCCTTTGTCATGTGAATAAAATCATTTCAAAACCATGAGGTGAAGTTTTGTCCTCTAGCATTAAAGTGGAATAGTGATTCTTGGAAAAAATCATCCAATATGTTGGAACTTGGTCGGATGAGATGAAACTTTGAGGAACCAAGCTCAAAAGGTCAGAATTCAAGCCATGTGAAGAATAGCCCATGTGTACCTTGGTTTTCAAGTTATAGGTGCATGACATCATGATAACGGGAAAATATATCTATAAAATGACGTGTGTTTTAACTAATGTTTGATCGGTTTCACTCCGAATTCGGGGCATTCCATGCTATTTGTCTAAGTATTATGCAGGTATTCGAAGAACATGTCCAAGCAAAGCAATATGAAGAAAAGGAGCAAAAACAAGTGGAAAATGGATGAAAAACCAAGTGAAAACCAGCAGAAACGGGCCTGACTGATATGACGACCGTCACACAGCTGTGACAACCGTCACACAGCCATGACAACCGTCATGCAGCCAGAACGTGGCAGAATGAAGTCACGTGCAAATTTCCCCCTCAAAGACCAAAAGTGTGGCCACTAACACCTATTTTTCTGCCTCAAACCCACTTCCTGAAGGAATAACCGTTAGATACTCTCCCTCTATAAAAGGAAGAGGTTGGGACCTGAAAAAGGGAGCCGCATCCAAGACAACGAAGTTTTGCCAATTCGTCTCCAGAGCAACCTTTCCATTATTATATTCTTATTTGTTTCTCTTTTCCTTCTCTGCATTCTTTGATATTTTGTAATTCCCATTTCCCTTGTACGATCAATTGGCACCAAGACCAGAATCTTGCCAACATTTGTGGAGGATCTGCCCAAAGGCCAATTGGAATATTTATAGGTTTTAAATTTTAATCGTAATTTCAGTTTTCATTATCATGCATGTTATTAATTACTGTTTTTATTTATGTATTACCATTTCTATTTCCATGTCTAGCTAAACTACTGTAATCGATATGTAATAATAATTCAGACAGAATTTGATAATAATTGGCGTAGTTTTTCTCTTTTCAAAAACTCAGTTATGGTTTTAGTTTTTAATCAAAATTCTAAATAAATCTTTGTCACGACAGTGAGAAGCTATTTACGGTGGTTTTGCCACGACAGTGGGAAACCATATTAAGGTACGAACCAACAAGCGACAGCTGAGGCTAAGACCAGATAGTAAAAACTAGGCATTCGATTTAAAAACAGCGAAAACGCTTTAAAAAGGATTAGAACTTAGAGATTTTCAAAAGGTAACTTTAACCCCGAACGGGATAGCGAAAACATACGTTCCGCCTTAGAGTTGCGACTAGCGTCAACAACCATCGTGAGACGAAAGTCCTTAAATCACTATTTTCTTCTTAAACTAAGTTTGAAAACATTTAATACGCCAATAAGTTGTCAAATCCCCGAAGAACAAAATTATTGCATATCGATTCATAAATTCATATCTTAAGTAAAAACCTTAGTTCCCTTTAGTTTACGCATTTATTCTGCCATTATTCAACTTGAAACTAACCGACCTAGCTGTCGCTTGCGCGAAAATAAGGTGCCGGCATGACAGAAGAGTCGCCACCTTTCGTTATTTATCCCTCAGAGCGGGAAAGGAAACGATCGGAAAAACCTGACGAAAAAGGGTAAGACAAGGTCATCGCAACCATTGTCTGGGTTCGGGAGTCGGTTACGCAAGGGGAAGGTATTAGCACCCCTCACGTCCGTCGTACTCGACGGGATCCTCGCTTGTTTGTTTACTTGGACGGGTTGGTTATAATCTATCTACCTATCAAGGCTGGCTGAAAAAGAAAAGAAAAATGACTCGGCAAAGCGTCGCACTTTATGCCTACGTATTCCCATCTGGAACGAGAAATCAGAGTCAACGTAGTTCGGCTAACTACGGGAAAGGTTGGGGAAGGTTGCTCGCTAGGACGTCGCATCCTATGCCTACGTACTTTCATCTGGTATGAAAGATCAGAGCAAACGTAGTTCGGCTAACTACGGAAAAAATGGGTCAACTAGGAGGGAGACTATCAAGTCCTACTGTTGTCATGCCATGGATTCATCCTATGGTTGAGGTTTGAACAGGGAACTCCTAGAAGTTGTCA